GTATGCATCATCAAATTAGTGTCTTTGCATCATCAAATTAATGACTTGGGTGAACAGTACAATGTGTTATTTTGTTTTTGTGTTACCATCATCCTACTTCTCATTCTCTGTTCCAACCACTATGTGATCACTCTTTTAAAAAAGCACAGAATGTACAACTTATTCCTGTTTTCTTTCTGAGATCCATGGTATTTTACATGCATCTACATGTTTCATGTCCGAATGTGTTTTTCAACACTGCTCCCTTCCTCTGCTGGCTGTCTTGCCCTTGTACATTTTTTTAAAATCACTTTTCTGTGCCAATAAATCATTTTTGAGAATAACCCAGTTAAAATTTAAATTATGAGTTTTTTGTCAAAATGCAAAATTGTTCATCTTTGACAAAAGTAAGAACAGAAATCATCTCGTGAGCCATGAAAATGTTGCAATACTTACAAATATTTCAATGCTGGCAAATTAAAAAGATATGGATCTTGAACAGTCATCAGAGGATTTTCATGTAGAATTCTGGAAAATGCAATAGAATTAAAATTGTCTGCATTTTTAATAACTGCTATGAAAGTTTATATTCATTTTGTTGGTTCAAAATGTGAAGGTTGAAAAAAACCATTTTCTGTCTATTCCCAGAGATCACCCTTAGAATCTGTAAAGCATTCTCTTTTGTTGTTGTTAATCTCACCTGAAGATATTTTTTCCACTTCTTTTTTTAGAGAGAGTGAGAGAGAGAGACAAAATACAACATCACATCAATGTGAGAGAGACACATCGGTTGGTTGCCTCCACCACATGACCCAATGAGGGCCAGGAATAGAACCTACAACTCAGCTATGTGCCCTTGACCAGGTATTGAACCCGCAACCCCTTGTTGTATGGGCCAATGCTCCAACCACTGTATAACACGGGCCAGGGCTATAAAGGATTCTTAATTGGGGAACTACCCGAGTCTCTGAATGATAAAGTGGAGAAGAGAAAGTAAAAAAGAAAGAAAGAAGTGGATAGCAAAGAAAAATATACTGAAGAACCTTTCAGATTGAAAACCCCATTATTGACTATGCTGATATGAAGCTCCTGCTCTACAGAAAATACCATTTCTTTTTTCTTTTTTTCAATATTTCTTTATTCATTTCAGAGAGGAAGGGAGAGAGAGAGAGATAGAAACATCAATGATGAGAGAATCATTGATATGCTGCCTCTTGCACACCCACTACTGGGGATCAATCCTGCAAGCCAGGCACATGCCCTTGGCCAGTATTTAACCTGGGACCCTTCAGTCCACAGGCCGAAGCTCTATCCACTGAGCCAAGCCGGCAAGGGCAAGGAAATACCATTTCCAATGTCCTCATAATTCAAGGTGCTTTTCTTTCATCTCCAGAAATTTTTTAAATTCCAGTGTAAACCATCAAGGTAAATAGAAAAATAGACCTAATTCCTTGGTTTTGGAGCCACAAATGGGATAGATGTAAGAGGAACTGGTGAAAGCCATGCTCCTATCACATACTCCCATGGGTATTCTTGCATCACAGTCTTTCTTATAATGATTGTACTCACCAATTTACTTGTCAATTTCTTGACTATTAGTGCCTGACATTTACTAGGAATTTAATGGATGTTTGTTTAAAAAATAAACAATATTTTGATTACATATTAATCAAATAAATAAAATTCTTAATTGACACAAACTTTTATTCCCAGCGCTGAAATAAATTTTCCTCTCAATTCACTATTACCACCACCCCCCTCAATTCTTGAAAACAAAGAAGCCCATGCCAAAGGTCAGTTCTGGGAAAGCAGAGCATGGCATATGTCAGTTAAACAAGTCTCTAGGACACTTTGTACTTTAGTTTCCTCATTTAAAAAAGAAAAAAAAAAAGAATGGCTCTTAAGCCATTCTTTTCAAGTTCAAACTGAGCTTATACCCAGCCAACCAATCACTGTATGAAGTTTTTACACATAGCTTTTTACATGTGTTCATCTTCTATTTCACTTACAACTTGTGTAACAGCTGCATTCCATGCCAGGTTTGAAATGTTCCAAAGTTCACTTTTGTGATTAAATTGCAACCAAGATTTCTATTAAAAAAAGACAAGAGCAAAAGAAGAGAAAAAAATTCTTTCAGATCACTTATCCTTTAGCAGAGATTCTAATTTATATATGATAAAACAACCTCAATACTCCCTCTATATACTAAAATTCTTACTATGGGAATATTTGCTTATGGTTTATGCTTTCATGTTTATACATGTGGTGCATTAGATACAAAAAAATGCTTCTTTTAAACTGATCTATATTTCTCTGAAATAAGGCTACACAACCTCAACACTATTGACATTTTGGGATAGATAATTCTTTATTATGGGGAACTGTCCTTTGCCTTGAACAATAATTCTGGCCTCTCCCACTAGATGGCAGTAGCAAATCTACAGTTCTGACAACTAAAACTCTCTTTGGCTATTGCCAAGTGTCAACTGGTGCAAAATCACCCTGGTTGAGAACCACTGCTATAGATGGTTCATACTGTTTTTAACTTTTTGAGGAAACTCCATACTGTCTTCCACAGTGGCTAAACCAGTCTGCATTCCCACCAGCAGTGCAGGAGGGTTCCTTTTCCTCCACATTCTCACCAGTACTTGTCATTTGTTGATTTGTTGATGATAGCCATTCTGATAGGTCTGAAATGTTATCTCATTATTGTTTTGATTTGCATCTCTCTGATGATTAGTGACTTTGAACATGTTTTCATATGTCTCTGGGCCATCTGTATGTCCTCTTTCAAAAAGTGTCTATTTAGACCCGTTCCCATTTTTGTTGGATTATTTATCTTCCTTTTGTTAAGGTGTATGAGTTCTCTGTAAATTTTGGAGATTATACCCTTATTGGAAAAATCATTGGCAAATATGTTCTCCCATGCAGTGGGCTTTCTTGTTGTTTTGTTGATGGTTTCTTTTGCTGTGCAGATAGAATGGTTCATTCTGAATGTGACAGAATTCTCACACTAATCTATGCTAGAGACAAATGGGATTAGGTACATAACTTTAGTAGTTTTCTAGTAATAAAATTTTAATCTTACTTCAGAATAAATAACAAAAAGGTTTACAATTATGTTTTATGAAATTCCTAAACACAATGAGGTTATATTTATAACTTACATATATTGTAAAAGAGGTAATGAATCAAATGCATTCTTTTCAATAAATTCTATTTTATTGCAGGACAAGTCCCTAGAAAAAGTAAAAGAAAAATAGTGTTTAATTACTTATTAGTATCTAATTAGTAGGAATAACTGGTAGAGGTTAGAATAATATTGAATACACAGGTTTAGTCTAAACTGAAAACCATAAGAATTGTGATTTGAACGATCCAGAACCCATTATACTGCCCTCACTCAAAAGTCTCACCATCAGGATCTTCTTAAATACAACATACAACTATAGATCTTGGTACATTTTGAAGGTATTTCTTCCTGAGAGCAGAAGAACTGATTAGAAGACCCTTTGTGGTCTCATCAAATTTAGATTATGAGCTCAAAGTTTATATCTTCATGTACATTTATAAATTTCTAACATTAAAAAAAATAGTCTCACATCTACACACCTCCCTGGTTTACTTCTGTTTTTTTAGACAAATTCAATACCAGAAGAAATAAAAGATGCCTTTTCACATAACTTAAAAGGAAGTGACTGCTCTAAATACTACAGAACTTTGAACTAATACAGAACGTTGAACTAATGATACTCTTTCTATTATACTAATAGCAATTCATTTCTTATTTTACATTGTTTAAATACCCATGTATTTAATGTCTTCAGTTGTACAGTGGTCGGACAACAGAACACAACATGGTGTTGGATTTTTATTTGAAAACACCATCCCTTGTCTATAATTGACTGTCTTATTTCCATTGATTCCACTTTAGTCCCTCACTTTTCTCACTTTTCTCCTCACTTTTCTAACTGTCTTCTGACTGGTGTTTCCATCTGTAATCTCCCCTTTGCTAAACCATCCTGCACACAGTCACCAGATTAACACTCCAGCAGTGGTTCTTAAATACCAGTCAGCATCACCTGGGAACTTATTAAAGATTGAAATTCTCAGTCCGACTCTGGATCGAGTGAATTAGTAACTAAGGGTACAGCTTGAGTTTTAACAAACCCTCCAAGTGACTCTGTTGTAGGCTAAAGCTTCTCCTCGAGCAATGCTGTGATAACTTGGGACTTGGTATTCAAAACTCCAGAAGATCTGGCTCTAATCTCCTCCTCCCCCTACGTGTACTCTACAGCTACTCAAGGTATATTTTCCCAGGCTCCTTTTTCAAGCTTATTCTACTCAAGATGTCTATCCATTGATCCCCAAAAGCCCTTCAAGGTTGTGTTCAAACAGCATTGCTCTACTGACATCTTTGCTGATCAAACGTAAAGTCTTTTTTCCCTCTGCTGTGACCAAAACCAAATTATATATTCATTTCTTACAAAATTTTAGTAGAGTTATTTTTGCATCCTATCTCCTCTGAGTATAAACTCCTTAAAGTATGGACTGGGTCTTGCTCATCAGCATTGTCTACTGACATGCGAACAGGTGCAAACTGAAATATTTATCAAATAAACAAATAGCTGGGAAGTAGAGAGAAAAATGATTTTTAAAAGAAATGTAGTTTTATTATTTCATTGCTCCCTCTTGTGTGCCACTGCAGCACATAGTCTTCCATTTAGTATTTGTGCTCCATGGTTTGAGTTGATATGTTTATTTTCCCTATGAGAGCATGAATCATCAGAAGGGTAGGAACCCTGACGTACCTATCTTGTGCCTATAGTTCTAGGTACAGTGCTTGGCATGTTCTGTTTTAGCTTGTTTATTGATTGGCATTTTTTAATGGATGCGAATATTTTATGCTAGCATGAAATAGGTAGCTTACAAAGTATTTCACAGTAGAAGTAATGAATGACCTAACCTATTGAGCAGTTATTTACTTCATTTTATTTCCTCCAAACTGTATGGAAGGTTTGAAAGCGAGATAGCAAGAAGGCCAATATAAAAGGGGATGTCCCTCTGAAGCTTGAAAGGTTTAATAATACAAATGACTATTTTTTAGTGTCATGTGAGGCTCTTTATACCTACTTGCCTGAAGCCTTCCATATTTGCAGAAGAATCCATTTGCTAAATAGCATCATTAATTAGCCTAATAAAGATTAATGACACACACAGCTCTGGGTCCCATGGACAAAGAATCATAGTTGAGTTTTTATAGTAAAGAACATCTCTCTGTTTCTAAGTAAATAGGATACTAGGCAAGCATTTCTTCCTTGACAAGGAGGCTGAAGAGATTTTTATTTTGTAATTAGTGAAGTTAGGGGCATTTCTGATATACTTACTTAGTGGAGACATTCCTAACAATACCACTTAGCCATCATTTTAAACATCTCCTTTTTGTATTGGTATAACAATTCCTGCATTGAAATCCTCAACACCAGTCTGCTCTCTTCATAATTTAATATGTTCTTAATAATATTGTTTACATAAGTCATCTGCTAAAACATTTAATTGTAAATGTTAATCTAATTTAGGTTTAATTATCAAAAATTATGGGTTAATGGCATTCAAATTAATGTAAATGCTTTATAGTTTCTTGTCCTATAGGAGGCAATTTGAGGTTAAGCTAAATCCCTCTCATTTGACTAAATCAACATTTTAAAACCTTTTATGTAAAGGTCAGACAGTAAACATTTTAGGCTTTGCAGGCCACAAATAGTCTGTCTTGCATATTCTTCTCTGTTTCTTTTCTTTCAAAGCCCTTTAAACGTGTGAAAATCCTTCTTAACTTATGTGCTGTAAGAAACAAACAATCTGGGGGTGGAGGGAGGCGGCGGGGAGAGGTAAATGGGGGGAAAAGGATACTTATGTAATACTTTAAAAAATAAAGAATTTACATTAAAAAACAGAAATGAGCAATCATAGGCCCAATTTGATTCATGGGCCCTAAACGAAATATAAATATAAGCAGAGGGTATATAAACCCTTATACAACAAGGCTCATATGGGTGTGTATCATTACTCAGACCTCATCACCACTTTTACTCCATAACTGAAGAGTTTTTCCTATCTATATTTTGTCTAGAGGACAAAACTGAAACTGAAAATGCATAGGAGATATTAAATGCTAGAGATGAGCTCCACAGACTTATGGAATTGTAGAATTTTATTGCTGGAAGAAATTGTAGAAATTTTTTCATTTGAACCCCTTATTTATTTTATAGATAATATAACTAAAATCTCATAAGTAAATACAATGAACTTACAAATAGTGGAGGGAATCCAGGCCTTCAAATGAATCTTTACGTAATTCTCTCAAATTATTTGCACTGAGATTTCTGAAAAATGAAAAGATTATTTCTGGATCAAAATGCAAAATAACTACAACTATTTACTGCACAGAAATATATATGGGGAAACCTGGGTAATGGTGCCAATGAAATACCCTAATTTTTATTTAATTGAAGGAAGATAATCTGTTTTTCTTTTCAAACCTTTCTTCTCCCGTCCTCTTGTGCAAACAATATAGCATTCTACGATTGATTCCCTTTCTTTAGGAGGCTTTCTTTCTTTCCAAAGAACTTACCAATATTTGAAATGATATGTACCTAGTTAATACATATATATATGTGTGTGTGTGTGTGTGTGTGTGTGTGTGTGTGTGTATATATATATATATATATATATACACACACACACAATATATAGGCTTAGTGCACAAAATTCATGCATAGGGTAGGGTCGATATACCTGGCTGGTGATCAGGTCTAATTGCGACCTTCCGGCTGCCGGGGCCGCCCTTCCCTGGTTGCTGGCTGCTGGCCAGGGCCTTCCTTTGTTTCGCACCACCCCCTGATGGTCAGTGCACATCTTAGCAAGCCATCGGTCTCCCAGTAGAATTCCCATGGAGACAATTTGCATATTAGGCTTTTATATATATAGGTATTCATTTTCATATTATATACTTGTAAACCCCTTGAAAAATGGAATAATTTGACTACTTTGTTCTTGGGCATGTAATTCTGGCACATAAAACAGTTCCTGGCACATAGCAGATATTCCATAAACACTCTTTCAATGATTTCAGAAAGTGACAAACGTCATTTTCAGTCTACTACTTTTATTTAAAACAAATCATCCATTTACTATCTATCACTCATGAGAGTAAGCACAGCTTTATAGCCAAGGAACTGTCTGTCTTCTCCCCTACATTTGTGACTATTAATCTTTGGAGACAAGAGCCCTGTGAGAATTTCATAAAAGCTATGGACCCTTTCCCTAGAAAACTGCACTTTCTTGAATACATGCAAAAGTGTGCATGTAATGTCCATTTGCTGATTACCCCTTCAGGCCAGAGGTCGGGGAATAGCATTGTATGGATTGAATTCAGGGGGCCAAACCTGAATGGGAAATAAAATTACATCTCTATTTTCACAAACCTCTACCAAAAATTAGCATTGCCCTGCATTGTGAATGTAGGAAACAAACTATACTAGATTAACAATATAGTACTTCATTGGGTCTCCAATAAAATCACAGATGTTTTCATATAAGATATTTGTTGCAGATATCTCAAAATATCATTTATTCTCATCACTACATTGAAGTTATAATAGTTATTAGATCAACCACTATAGCTTGTGTTACTTATAAGAGGAGCAGATTTGCCATGGCTGGTTTTGCTTAGTGGTTAGAGTGTTGGCCAAGAAACCAAAAGGTCATGGGTTCGATTCCCAGTCCAGGGCACATACCTTGGTGGTAGGTTCAATCCCTCACCCCAAACCAGCAGGAGGCAGTCAATCGATATCTCTTTCTCATGTCTTTCTATCTCTCTCTCTCTTTCCCTCTTTCCACTCTCTCTGAAAAATATTCATGGAAAAAATATCTTCGGACAAAGATTAAAGAAAAACGTAAAAAAGAGAAGTAGTATCAATAATATTTGTACTGCTTTAATTTAAAAATATACTATTATTAATTTTACAGAGGAAGGAAGAGGTAGAGAGAGAGAGAGAAACATCAATGATGAGAGAGAATCATTGATCAGCTTCCTCCTGCACAGCCCACTGGGGGTTGAACCTGCAACCGGACATGTATCCTCAATGGGAATCCCACCGTGACTTCGAGGTTCATAGGCTGACACTCAACCACTGAGCCATGCTGGCTGGCCTTTCAAAAATCTATTTTTAAAAAATATTTTAGTCCTAGCTGGTTTGGCTCAGTGGACAGAATGTCTGCCTATGGACCAAAGGTCCCAGGTTTAATTCTGGTCAAGGGGATATACCTTGGGTTGCAGGCTCTTCCCCAACCCAAGCCCTGCTTGGGGCTCGTACAGGAAGCAACCAATCAATGTGTCTCTCTCACACTGATATTTCTCTCTGTCTTTACCTCTCTCTTATACTCTCTCTAAAAATCAAAGGGAAAATATCCTCAGGTGAGGATTAAAGAAAGAATAATCATAGGAAAATAAACAATGTTTTTAAATATGCATTTTAATAATAGACTTCCTTTATTTTCATATGTATTTTAACTTATACATCTTTTAAAAATATAGTCCTCAAGAATATAGGCTTCTGCAGATAACCAAAGATATTTGGGAGAAAAAATGGTAAGAAATGGATCAGTGGGGGGTCCATTGACTCTAAGTTAGGAACCTCTTCTTTCCAAGGTATAAATCTCAAGCTGACTTAGAAATCTTCAAACCTGCCTGGCCAGCATGGCTCAGTGTGTGAATGTCAACCTATGAAGCAAGAGGTCACGGTTGATTCCAGGTAGAGGTTTATGGCCAGGTTGCGGGCTCAATGCCTGGTGTGGAGTGTGCAGAAGGCAGCCGATCAATGGATTCTCTCTCATCATGAATGTTTCTATCTCTCTCTCTCTCCCTCTTCCTTTCTGAAATCAATAAAAAATTATTTTTAAGAAACAAATGCTCAATAAATAAATAAAAGTATCTGAATTCACAAGTAATCAGAAAAATTCAAACTAGGGTGGGACCGCCTTTATTCACCCATTAGATCAGCCAAAGAAATGGAGACTATTTAGTGGTGGAAGGAGAGAAGAAAATAAATACTGTAGTTGCCCACTTACTGGAGTATAAGTTGGCATAATTTCTTTAAGGGCAATTAAATGCTGTATCAATATAGTTTCATCCCAACAATTCCATTTCTAAATATCTATTGTACATAAATACCAGCCCATGGTCCCAAAGATGCATGTACAACAATGTATGTTGCATAAAATACATGTAACAAGAAAACTGGACAAAATCTAAATATCCATCAATAGGGGGATGATTAAACTATGGAATATTATGAAATAGTTTAAATGTATTGGGTAACCCTCTCTCTAACAAGAAGGAAACATGTGTAAGATATATTATGAGGTGAAAGAATCAAGAGCTAGGATGTTATCAATTATGTAAAAAAAAGATATGAAAATCATATAACATACCTACTTTGCTATCTCTAAATATGTATGTAGGCAAATGCATTGAAAAGGATATGTAAGGAAATATAGTAAACATAGAGTACCAGTTACCTGAGGGTGGGGATAAGGACACAACCAGGGTTTTCACTATATCTGCTATCTAATTTTTATATATTAAAAAAATAATCATGTGTTTCATATTATAATAGAAAATAAGTTTAAATTGACTGTGATTATAAATAGGGCCTACCAAATTTAATTTTTTAAAATGAACAGAATTGCAATCAATAGACTTGATTTGGGATACAGAGTAGGAAATACCTTTTCTCAGAGCTACTGACCTCAAAATTCTGGACCAAGAAGTTCTTACAATGCAGTTAGTTTTTTTAAATTCACCTATGCAGAGAATATACTCACAGTTTCTCAACCAAATGGTATGACTTCCAGGTATCTTTACCAATGTAAGAAATAGCGTTTCCTTGCAAGTTTCTGCAAAGAAACAGTTAATATCATTGAATAGGTAAGAAACGAATGAACTGAATAAGTAAAACAATCATTGCAACCTTGATATTCAAATGCAGGACACACAAGCTTTCTAATTTCCAAATCTGTCAGCTTTCCAGTTTGCACAATTAATAAAGGTATAATGTGAGCTCCACTTGGTTTTGCTCAGTGGATAGAGCATCAGCTTGTGGACTCAAGGGTCCCAAGTTCAATTCTGGTCAAAGGCACATGCCTGGGTTATGGCTCCATCCCCAGTAAGGGGCGTGAAGTAAGCAGCAGATCAATGATTCTCATCATTGATCTCATCATTGACCTCATTATTCTCTGTCTCCCTCTCCCTTCCTCTCTGAAATCAATAAAAATATATATTTTTTAAAAAAAACCCCACAAACAGTGAGAATGTCTATGAATTACAAGTGTTTAAAAGAAGCTGTTCAATTCCTGAGGTTCAGTTTCAAACACTAATTCTGTGATGACTTTGAATCTTTAGCTTTGTCCTCTTCCCTCAGCAACAACTTACCTATTCAGTTTACGTATTTTTCAGGAAGGTCAGAAAAAGTCAGGTATCTGTCTGCCCTCTGCCTAGTGGACATCTCTACTCAAGCAGATGCCTTCTTGTGTATGCTCACCAATGAAAGAAGCCCAAACTGAGCTCACCTACTCAAATTGGCTCTCTTTCACAACTGCTATATGTCCACCTGTCATACCACCATCATTCTTCTCATCACCCAGGACAGAAATTTTCCAGGGTCATATTTGATCTTTCTCTTTCCTGTACATCCATCGCTCACTCCAGTGAGTCAGTAATGCTTGCCAGTTCGTCGTTTAGAGTGTTCTGAGGAGTTTCTTTCTTCTCCTAACACAACACTTTGATTCAGTGCCTTCTCACTGGACTCCTAGAGTATTCTACTTGGTCTCCCTGAGTCAAGATTTCCTTTCTAGATCACTCTACCTATGGAATCTAAAATAAACCTTTTTTTTGTGACTCATTTGTCCCTCTCACTTGAAAACTTTCAATAGGTCTCCTTATATCAGTGTAACTTCCAAACCCCTAGATCCGATAGTCAAGGTTTTTTTCATCATCATATTTTTCACTACTTCCTAAACCAATTCTTTATAACCAGACTGGTCTATTAAGTCATGATCATTCCTGTAGCCATGCCTTTGCCCTACTGTACTCACTATTTTACCAAAACATAGCCTCCCTTTAAGTCCCAGCTAAAGTTCTGGGTTATCCATGCAGCTTTCCCTGACTTCCATACACCAAAAACTACAGATTCTGCTGTATTATAGCACCTCCGGCTGTATTTCTTTTAGAACTTAATTATATATCTCCTCCTCTTTTATGTATATTCCTTTCTTCCCCCCTACCACTGTCATGTTCCATAGACAAAGTCATACTTCTGTGACTCCCACAGTACTTAGACCTGGGCTGGGAACAAAATGGGTCATTTATATAGAAAGCCAGAGGGCAAAGATAAGTTTTAGATATGACGGAGGGATCAAATAATAATAGCCAACACAGACATATGTTAGGAAATTGAATAAGTACTTTACACACACATACACACACACACACACACACACACACACACACACTAACTCTTCTAAAACTCACAACAATCCTATGTAACGGTAACTATATAATCTTCATTTTACAGGGAGGAAACTGAGTCTCAACACTAATAAAGGCATACTGGGTTCAAACCCAGTCACTCTGGCTGTAGAATCTCTGCTCCTAACCACTTTGTTGTATCACCACCAATAAGTCTGGGAGAGGGCCATGTTGCTGTAAAGAGAATGGAGCAAAAGTGGGAGGACAGTAGAGGTTAAGGAATGAAGTGCTAGGGCTAAAAATTTGGAAAAATAATATGGGCAATTACAAGCAAAAGACTGGTTAAGGGGGAACAATAGTGTTAAGGAGAATAAAGATAAAGAATAGTTGTCAAACAAAGATAAAAACCAAGTCATTCAACATGGTTTGGGGGAGATGAGGAAGACCTCAAGGAAAAGGCTGCCATGTCAGCCAGGATGCAGAGAGCAAATGAGGAAAGGCAATACTTACAAGATGGTGAAGGTGCCATTATAGGTGCTGGGCTCTGGTACTGGCACTCTGGTGAGCCTCCGCTTTGAGTCAAAACCAATACATGACAGTGTCCCATTACTGCAGGAACAGAGCTCACATATGTTCACGGTGGCACTCTGTTCAGTCATTGGAGGAACTGTCTCTGATGACGCTGGTGGCTGAGTTATGGTAACTTCCAGGTCAAACGACAGAACTGTGGCCCTGACTTCAGAAAAAGCTGCCTGCTGAACCTGAACAAGTTCTGGATGTTGAAGTGTCACCTCAGGGTGCTTTGCAGGAGCTGTGGTCTGCTGCAGGGCTGTAGTACCAGTCTCCACCGTAGACTCTGGAGTGATGGTGAGCTCCAGGTCCACAGGTGGAAAGGTTGCCTGAGGAGCCTGAACAGTCTCTGGTGGTGGAAGTGTCACCTCAGAAGGCTTTGCAGGAGCTGTGGTCTGTTGCAGGGCTGTAGTACCAGTCTCCACTGTAGACTCTGGAGTGATGGTGAGCTCCAGGTCCACAGGTGGAAAGGTTGCCTGAGGAGCCTGAACAGTCTCTGGCGATGGAAGTGTCACCTCAGAGGGCTTTGCAGAAGCTGTGGTCTGTTGCAGGGCTGTAGTACCAGTCTCCACCGTAGACACTGGGGTGATGGTGAGCTCCAGGTCCACAGGTGGAAAGGTTGCCTGAGGAGCCTGAACAGTCTCTGGCGATGGAAGTGTCACCTCAGAGGGCTTTGCAGGAGCTGTGGTCTGCTGCAGGGCTGTAGTACCAGTCTCCACCGTAGACACTGGGGTGATGGTGAGCTCCAGGTCCACAGGTGGAAAGGTTGCCTGAGGTGCCTGAACACTGTCTGGACGTGGAAGTGTCACCGCAGGGTGCTTTGGAGGAGCTGCATTCTGCTGCAGGGCTGTAGCTGCAGCCCCCAAAGTGTGAACAGGAGTGATGGTGATTCCCAGGTCCACAGGTGGAATGGTGGGCCACTGAGCCTGAACCGGCGCTTGCTGTGCAAACGGCACCTCAGAGGGCTTTGGAGGAGCTGCAGTCTGATGCAGGGTTGTAGCCGCAGCCCCCACAGTGTGTTCAGGAGTGATGGTGATTCCCAGGTCCACAGGTGGAATGGTGGGCCACTGAGCCTGAACCGGCGCTTGCTGTGCAAACGGCACCTCAGAGGGCTTTGGAGGAGCTGCAGTCTGCTGCAGGGCTGTAGCCGCAGCCCCCACACTGTGTTCAGGAGTGATGGTGATTCCCAGGTACACAGGTGGAATGGTTGGCCACTGAGCCTGAACCGGCACTTGCTGTGCAAACGGCACCTCAGAGGGCTTTGGAGGAACTGCAGTCTGCTGCAGGGCTGTAGTCGCAGCCCCCACACTGTGTTCAGGAGTGATGGTGATTCCCAGGTCCACAGGTGGAATGGTTGGCCACTGAGCCTGAGGAGGCTCATGCTGTTGAACCGGCACCTCAGAGGGCTTTGGAGGAGCTGCAGTCTGATGCAGGGCTGTAGCCGCAGCCTCCAAAGTAGACATTGCTGGGGACTCCTGCTGAGATGATGCCATCTTCTCAGGGGGCTCTGAAGTTTTTAAAACCCCCAGATCCACATCTTTTTCACCGATTGGCAAGAGGTGATGCTGACCTTCACCCGAATCAGGAAGTGAGTCTGCTGCCTCGTGATCCCAAGACCAGGGCTTGGTGGGGCCCAGGGGGATGGAGGTCAGCAGGCTAGAGTCCACGGCCAACTCCGGAATCGGAGCTGCCTGGACCTGCAGCCACAACAGCTGCCACAGGAACAGGAACCGTGGGGCCCACATGTGCAGCCCGGACATGGCAGGCAGAGGTCCGGGGCACAGTGAGCCACCAAGGGGAATGGGGCAAGGAGAGTGACCCAGAAGACTGGGCCACAACAGGTGATCCAAAAGAATGGAGCACAATAAGCGATCCAGGAGACTGGAGCACAAGGAGCGATCCAAAATACTGGGGCACGAACACGCAACCCAGACAAATGGGATGCAAGTACCCGCGCTGAGCAGGAGCCCAATAATTTGTAGCCATGTCACAATTGGCAGCCATGTCACAATTGGCAGCCATGTCACAATTGGCAGCCTGTCCTGCTTGCCCCTTAGCAACCAAGCACCCCTCCCCCACCTCAAGTTCTAACCTTTATTTAGGCAATCTTTATTATTTTGGGGCTGAAGTGCCTACAGAAGAGGGAGCTTTTTCCCCAGAGTCACCAGGGACCAAGTGGTTCCTTTCACCTGCAGAAAAGATAACTATCTCCCTCTGGGTCTCCCCTCCCCACTCACAGTGAGGCAGGATTTGGACTGCACACTTGGGTGGCCCCAGAGCCCAGGCATGGTGGGATGTGGGGAGGGGGTGTAAAAGAAGGTGGGGAGGAGGGGAGTATTGAAGAGCTTTCCAAGAAAGCCACAGGGCCTGGCATCTTGTTATAATTTACCCCGCGAATCACAGAAGGACGCCTCAAAAAGTCGAATTAAAGAGTCACATTTATTGCAATCCGGGACTCTGAGGGGGCATTTCGCTCTCCCAAATCTTGAAGTGATAAGATGGCCGCAACACCAGATTTATAGAGGCAAAAATCACAAAGGTATGATTACATCCCAGGGTTTGGAATGACGAACCTGGTTCGCAAAAAAGCAGTTTACAGAAGCAGAATTAAGCATGTTAATTATAGTTTTGGGTCTCAGGATCACTGCGTTGACAGAAACACATCATCTAGAGCCCTCGGGTCTTGGGACCACTGAGTTACCAGGAACACATTATCTAGAGCCATTGAGGCAATTTAGAGTAATTGCGCTGTCCTGGTTTTTGGGACCAGAAAAATATGCTTCCTAAAACCAGTAAGATCACAATCAATGGGATATTCACATTACAATCAATAAGGCATTCAATCGAATGGGATGATT